TTCTGTTCATTCCCAAAATAGATTAAGTGTAAAGTTCAGATTTGAAAATCCTGTGATATACCAAATTTGGATCATTGGACCTACTTATTCCGTCATCCTTCATGCTCGTAGGAGACTCTGATCAGGAAAATATCCCCAAGGAGGAGCAGAAAGATGTTGGAATGTAGGGTGAAAGTGTGAAAGACCATCTGCCAGTGGGCAGTGAGTTTGGACATCAGTAGTTTTGTATGTGGGTACCTGTCATATGCATGGGTTTATATATGTGGTCTGTGGGTATCCACTTTGTGGATAGTTGAGAATGTATTTTATATGGGCACCTATCATATAGACAAGTTTACAAGCATACTGTGTGGGTATTAATGCCGATGGATTTGGTTGTTTGGCATGTGAGTGCTTCCCACATAGATGGATTTGTATGCATGTTGTGGTGTGTTGGTGCCTGTTGTGCAGAATGTGTTTAAATGCACACACCTGTTATATTTTTTACACTTTACAGAGGAATAGTCCCATTGTTATCCATTTGCATGCACTGTTCGCATCTGCATTTGTGCTGAGATATAATCGTAACCATCTGTATTGAGATTTGCATATGTGTGAATATTAGTCATTTTGACACCATGTGGGCCTCTGCGACTGTGAATATTTCTTTGCCTGGCTCTGTACCTTTGTTTTATGATCACAAAGCAGGCTGATATCATCATACCTGATGATGAGCGTATGCATATAGTCTTTTGCTTATGTTGTCCATATATACACTATATATGATTTGTATATGCATTGGCAGAATATGTACATTTTTGTACATATTTCTTTCATATCTCCTTTAGTTTGATTATAAGAATCTATACATGTACAGTAAACCTGTAGGTCTGATTGTCATTACTGCCCTTAATGCTGGTATAAATGACATTTAAAGCCACTTTAGAAATCCTTTACACTGTCAGAGCAGTTTAAAGGGGCCTATAAGGTATAAGTACAGGCAAAGTCCTTGGTGGCTTGCACAGCCCACACTGAAGCCATGGCACTGTGTCTGCACTGCCATTGTTACCTGTGGTAGCTTGATAAAATCTGGTGTGTTGGTATGCCTCCCTGGGTAATGAAAGCTCTGATTGTAGTGTAGATGCACCCTTACTGTATATAAAATCATGTATTTTGTACTTAAACTTCAGTGCATACCTGTGTCTGTATATATACGATGTTATTATATGCCTCTTATGTTGGAACACCTACTCACTTAGATGCATGCCTACAACCATGTTGTGTACATATCCACATACAAATCTGTCTGCCTGCAGGTGAACGTGTTCTTTTGTTTGTGGGATGCATTTGCTGAATGATTTCTATATGTCTTTATAGATGTTTGAGCAGTGAAGTGAAAACTTGTCCCTTTGAACATAATTATGCAGGTGGTGCATTCCTGGTGTAGGTATGGGAGTACAGGCTTTCTGAATTGTGTTTTACTGCCTATGCGTGTACATGGGACTGTGTGTATGAATGTGAGTCCCTGCAAGGTTAAGGTGGACTGAACCCATTAATTTTTCTTTCTCAGAAGGGACAGAAGGAGGAGACACCACATGTCGATGTGGGAACCACGCAGCAGCCAACTGTATGTGTGCCAGATGGTTGTGTGTTGTGCGTGGCTATGGACATCTGTGACTACATGTATTTTTGTGTGTTCTACTGTATGTATCTGTAGAGCATACATCTGAGTGTATATTTGCACACACATATTGTGTGTGTGTTTCTGCCTCAGCACAACTGTGAGCGAGGATGCTTGTGTGTGTTGAGTGTGCCTAAAATAAGTGTGCTCTTCTGTGTCCCTGTTTGCTTGTGTGTGTGCGTGTGTATGTTTTGAATTTGTGCGTGCCTAAGTTCAGTGTGCTCTCTTGTGCCTTTGTTATGCGTGCGTGCGTGTATGTGTGTGTGTGCGTGTGCACTTGTACGTGTATGTTTGTGCTGTGTATTTGTGTGTGAATACTGTATATGTGAGCTGGTGCGCCTGTTTGTGTGCATGTATCTGTGTTGGCACTGTATGTGTGTGCTTGTTTGTATGTGTGTTTCTGTATGTAGGCGAGATGTGGGTACATCTGTCTTTTTAAAGTGTGTTTGTGTGTATTTTCAAGGTTTTATTGGGTATGTTAAAATGCAACCACCCTCTGAATGCATCTGCAAAAACGTATCGAAACGGAGTACAAATCGTCTTACTAAAAGAGAGGTCTTAGCTGAAAATTGTGATACAATTCTTCCCACAATGCCTGCCAAGAAATTGAGAAAGCAGATGACCCTTACAGCACAGCCTCTCCACTGAAGCAGCTAGACTCTGTCAGACCAAGGAGGGAGGCAAGAGCTAGAGTTAAATGCCCTCCACTCAGAAACCCCTGCCTCCAGACATTATGGCCTAGAAACCCTGCATAGAAGCTGATCCTAGCTGGTGTCATGATGCAGAGAGAGGGAGTAAAATTCGTAGCAGTACAGCGCATCATAGATCAAAATACAAAATCCATATCTTTTTCATCTAGAAGCAGCTGGAAGCCAGTGTCAACTCTGGAGAATGTGTGTACACACTCCTTCTGTAGCTAGGAGACCAAGCATCTGGATTCTGAATCAGCTGCAGTTTCCAGTCTGACTTTTAAGTTTAGGCTCAACATACAATGTATTGTAATAGTCTACACTGGCAGAGAGAGGCATGCAGGTGGCTGGGATGTGATGCATGTATAAGATAAAATTTTGCCATTTTTTCAAATAGATACTGGTGGGGAGAATGCATCATACTACCTGTGCTGCTACCAGTGAGAATCCAAGAAGAATTCCATGTTGCAATTTCCTTTGACTAAGAGCTCCATCTCAATAAAAGAGGCAGATGTTATACCCTTTCCCCTATCAACCTCCATCACCTGTGTTGTCTGGACTTTCATCTACTCCCCTGGGTTAGCTAAGCATGAAGAGACTAAAGAGATTGAGCAGTCTGGGTCTGATGCCGAAGACTTCTACCTCTTTGTCATTTCATGTCAATGCCACTGCTGCCCAAACATACTTCCTTTCTCTCCCATTGGCTTTCCAAATACACTGAAGGACCAGAAACCACCCCCCCTCCAAAAAAACCCAAACCAAACCAAAACAAAACCAAAAAAACCCCATAGACTTGCATGAGGGTAGGTGGGCAGCTGCCTAGCAGTATTTTCCAGATCTCTTTATCTGGAAAAATGGAGTCAATGAATAAAGGTTTGCAAAGGAAACTGGTAGAGACTTCCAAGGCTACCAGCAGAGCTAAAAGGAGTCAGCATAGGCACCTGTCTTCAGCCACTAATGGGAGGAGGCCAACTATCAAGAAGACAGCATGTCTGCAGTGCAGCCCAAGAAAGAGTGTAGACATACCTGAGCAAGCACTTGATAGGCTAGTTCCAGTATCATGAGCAGTCTAAGCCATGGTGGCATGAAACTCCATGTAGGCCAGTTTGCCCAGATACGCAGGTAGGTTTTTCAGCTTCTGGGCAGTAAGATACTGTGATTAGACTACTCCCAGTACATGAGCTAGCTAATTTAAATCCAGTTGGGGCATCTTGAGCCTAGACTGCATTCACAGCTTGGAGTGCAATGCAGAGAGACCCTAGTACATAGTTAAAAAGTCTGACTCAAGGGAGGTGAGGGAACTTAAAGTTTGCAGATGGTACTGTACCTTGGAGATTAGAGACATGTACATGGTTGGAAAAACTACCCAGATTACATGATGATTTCCTGCTCCATGTCCTAAGAGTAGATGCTTGGAGGATGGCATGCTGCCTTCCCGGAGTGGGTCCAGAATTGCACTGCTAGCTTTTACAAGGCTTATGGTACATTGGCTCAATTAGAGCCCTTCTAGCATCTTTTTTAGTGAAGCAGGCTGAGATTCAGTGAGAGCAGCTACTGCATTCCTCCTCTCCAGAGTCCTGCTGGCTGCCATAGGGGCAGTTGGTTTCAGTCTGCATCTGATCTACATGCTATGAAGTAGATGAAAAAATCCTGGCAGCAGGAAACACTTAACTCAGTCTGAGACTATGATGACTGCTGGTTCTAACCTCTGATTCAGAAGCCACTTAGATAACACAGTGGGTCTGTGAGGAAGGTGTGTAGGGAGAGACTACACTTAGTAATCATTTCCTATTAAACTACTGCTAAGGTAGGCCATGGCTACACACTATTATCCCTTATTCTCTCTTAACAAGTTCTGAAATCCAATCAAGTCCATCAGTCTGGTAAAATAAATCCTTTGTCCTGCTGGGAACAACGGTGTGTGCTAGCTGGTAATTATCATAGCATGACAAAGGTATAATCCACTTCCCATCCAGCTCTTTGGGGCCAAAAGACACCTGGGACAACCCCATAAAAGGGGCTAATAGTAGGAGTGAGATCCAGTACTAAGTCCACAACATTGCTGTCAGTTTAGATACTGGAGTCCCTCGGCCTTATAAGGAACTAATTCTTGTGTATACTAAGTCTCTAGAGCACCATTTTGAAAGTGTGAAGAGGCTGTGATGGGCTTAAATACAATTCACTCCCACTTGAAGGCTCCATTATGCTGCTAGAAGGGTGCTGAAGGAGTCTTAGCTGTAGTCTCAGTGACTAACACCAGCCCAGACAAATATGGGATCAGACTGCAGAAATGCAAAACCTGAAGTGGCAACCTCTACATTATTGTTCCAGTTTCATTTTACTGTGGGATGCACAGTAAATTAATTCACATTCTGTATCTGGCTTCCCATAACCCTAACCTTCCCTCAGCCCCTTTTGAACTGAGGAAAATTGGGGCAGCTCAAGGCCAGGTATGTCTCAGTTGCACAAGGAAAGTTGGGGACATAGTCAGGGCCAAATAAGAGTTGGTGATTACTTTCTTAGCCACCAACCTTGCATGAAGCAGCATGAAAAAGAGTGTAGTCCCTGCCAGTTGATGCCTTGTGACTCTCAAAATGAGATCAACAGAACAAGTAACTAGTGGTAGTGCACATCTGCTAATGTTTTTGCATGCAACAGCCCATGTTTATGTGGCCATGGGTGTGTTTGTCCAAGAACTTAATTGCAGATACTTCTGTGTTTGCTTGCATAGGTCTGAAATTGTGGTGGTCCTATTTTTGTGTGTATTGTCCCACACATGCTAGTTAACACTGGCTCATGTGGTTAAGTGTTCGTGTATCTGCTTGTGTGGGCTTCTTGGTGCCTGTAGGCCCATGTCCCTGTACTTGTGTATATAGGTGAACTTATGTTCTCCATGTCTGAGTGCAGGGGCCTGCTCAGAGGAGGCTATATCTGCATGTCTTTGAGACCATCCAGTAGGCCCAATTTCCCATTGCCTTGCCTCTTGTGCAGATTCTTATGCCATCATGAAGCAGCTGTGAAATGCTACCAAGTCAGAGGGGTAGCATTGTACACCCCATCCATGCATCCCATATCCAGGTAAAATTGACTGCTCACCATGCAGGGCAGTGGGGAATTGAGCCCAATGTGTTGTTCTTTGTGGGCTGTACTGACTCAGGTGCATGCTCTGTGTATCATCACACATCTCTCTATGCCTAACAGGACACAGATGAACCAAATTCCTTTGTTTGCCTTTCCCAGGAGAGAAAGAAGGAGGCGACACCACATGTCAGTGTGGGAGCAGCGTACCAGTCAGCTCCGCAGGCACATGCAGATGTCCAGCCAGGAGGGAATCAACAAGGATGAACCTCCACTGCTCAACCCTCACGCCAGCATATTCAGGAGAAAAAAGCCAGGTGAAAATGTAGCCTCAGATAAGCCTGAGGAGGAACAGGGAGGCAAGGCAGAGCAGCCACAGGTGGAAGGCCTGGAACAGCCAACCACAGGCACCAACCTCAGTGCCAGTGAGGACAAGAGGAGCCCATCCCCTCGAGCCAAGAGAGAAAGGGACCAGTGGCATCAGAAATCGTGTCATGGGAACTGTGATCCAACTGAACAAGATGGCAGTGGAGGAGGAGGTTCAGGGATTGAAGACAGAGCCCGGCTAAGACAGAGCCAGCGGCGCAGCCGGCACCGGAGGGTGCGGACTGAGGGGAAGGAGCCAGCTGGGGCTCTGGAGAGCCAGTCGACCAGCCAAGATGCAGGCCTGGAGGATGCCAATCCTGCAGAGGGACAGGAGAAGAGGAATGAAGGAAGAAAGGAGGACAATTTGAGTCAGGGGGAGCAGGCAGGCGAGGAGCTGAAAAGGTAAAGGCATTAGGTTGTTTACAGCTCTTATTTGAGACTCTTCTTCATGTAGAAAGAACCCTTCACCTGAAGCAGGAGGGTGTGAGATGGAAGTTGTATATAATGGGGAAATGTAGGAGGAATAATCTCTCCCTGGAGACATAGCTGCCTCTCCAGGCACGAGCCCTTTCCTGCTTACATTTATTCAGCCTCTTGCAGCTTGTTCCACTCTTGCTGCTTCAGTGTATTCCCCTCCAGTCTGTTCAGAAGAGCCTTTCTGCCCCTGCTCCTTGTCACTATTGCCCTCCCCGGTCAGAACCTGCTGCTCAGAGCAATACCATGGGCTCTACCTCAGGAACTGACCACAGTGATGCAGTAGCATTTCTCTCTGCTGTAGGGTAGGATGCTGTTTGTTGGCTTCTGAACAAGGGACTGAGATGGTCTGTACTACTTCTTTCTATGGGTCTATGAAACCTCCCTGTCTCCTTCCATGGTAATAAAGCTCTGACAGGCATGTGTGTATTTTCTAGCTTACAAGGGATATTTTCAGATCATGCTCAGACAAATTCAAATGGGGTTGCCTGTCCCATTTCACCCCCCAGTGAGTCTGACCTGAACCTGATGTTTGTGTTAAGCTGCTGCACTAGCACTAATTAAGTCTTTCAGGTTTCTCACCTGTACTTTACTTGCTTCCCCTGTAGTATATCTTCCTCCCCACCTGGAAATCCCACAGAGAGATCATTTCTTTCAGGGCTATTCCCAGGCAAAGCTAGCTGTCCTCAGGAGCAGAGTTTTTCTCAAGATGGGAAGGTCCCTCTACCGAACCCCAGCACTTTGTTGCAATTCCAGCTGTTCTGGTCTTCTGAAGTTGGCATGGGATATCAGGGCTATATCCTTGCTGTACAGGAGAGGTCAACCATAGGACAGTAAAGCACTTGGAGATCAGGCAAAAAGCACTATAGATTTCAAGATACTTGAAACCAGTTGCTTAAGATAAAGGGGCTGCGTTTTTTGGAGATAGATGTATGTAGCTTTCTCTGTTTCTAGCCAGTGTCTTCACAAGATTTCAAGAATGATCATTCCAAAAGAACACATGGCTTTCTCTCTCTCTTTCTCTCTCTCTCTGCCCCTTATCCCCTTTATCTTTACCCTCCAACCTTCATTTTCCCCCTCTTTCTTCTTTTCTTCTCCCCTCCCCCTTTTTTCTCACTTCTCTTTCCTGTCCCTATCTGTGGTACTCCTCTTACCCTTTCTCTGCTTCTCTTTGCCCCTCCTTTTCTCTGTTCTGCCTGTAGAACCAATGGAATCCCAGCCAGCGAGGCTGAGGTCCCTGGGGCCACCAAAGACAGGAGTCCACCTAAAGTCCCTCATGAGCTCAACCAGGGGAATAATGTAAGCCTGATTGATCAGGACTGCAGCGGCCTGGATACCAGTGACCAAGCCCTCCTGGGCAGCCTCCAGATGGAGATGAGCAGAGCCATCAGCAGGAGTGAACCAGACCTCTCCTCCATCACAGCCAATACTGAGAAAGCCACTGAGAGCACCACCATCATGATCGATGTCCAAGACTCCACTGTGGTACAGAGTGAGGACCCATCTCTTTATGTTCCTTGCCTGTTTCTTTCCTTCCTTCCTGACCCTTGATAATTCTAGGCATCCTTTGAAATCCCCAGAGGGTCACCTTGGCATTCATGTGTTCCCCACACCACAAGGTCTAGTGAAAAACATTCTAAGATCATCTCTTCTGTACACCTTCATGTTGCTTTGCTGAGACTTTGGACTACAAACCAGTTGCTTCCACATGTGGTGGGTGGCACTGAGGGTACTAATGTGGACCCACAAGGGTGGTTTTTTTCTGTGGTTTTATGCGGGATGGTTGTCTGTTGCAACCCAGGATCATATTGCTTACAGCTCTCCTTCTGCCTGCACACGTCTCTTGGTTTTGAATTAGACTTTGCACTGGGGACTGCCACTGATGGTCCCCCCTTCCCCCTTCTCCTCCCCAGTGCAGCTGCACTAACGACCAAGTGCACACTGCCAAAGTGTTTTAGGCTGGGATTTGGTTCAGGGTGGTTTCAAACTGAGGAAAATCACACTGGAACAAAACCTGGCTTAGAGCAACTTTTCCTGCCTACTCAAAAGGTTTGCATTAGTATAGTCGCACCTATCAGGGAGACGCTCAGTGCATTCAAGGCCTTCTTCCCAATAGCAGTGAAAATGCATGAGGATTCCCTAAGCCCATCATCCAACCAGGGGAACTCTGAGTGGCAGCTGTGCTAGAAATAAACCCATGACTGTGCCACCAGGCATAGAGAATTTGAGGTATAATGCCCTTGAGCATAGGAAAGTGCTGCCACTTTTTTGGCCAGGTATCTGAGGTTTATCCCCCAGTTTGCGCTGTATAGGTATGTCTCACATGCATGGCTGTCCACTCTCTTATTTAGTTACACAGTAGCCTCACCTTGTATTTTTCTCTCTTTCAGTTATTCCTTCCAGCCATCTCTTCCATTTTCCCCCGTGGCTTCTTCTTTCTCCTTCTGTTTCCATCTCCCTGCATCCATCTGCTCTCCCATTTACCATCTCTTTTCCTTCTCTTCCTTCGCTCCCCCTCCCCTCCCCAACTTTCCATCTCCTTGATTCCTGCCAAGGCCTGCACAAAACACTAGAATAAACTTTTTCTAAAGCAACGTGATTCCCTGTCAGTCAAACCTTAAAGACAAAGGGAACATTTCTTCTCATCTTGAAGATGAAAGTTTTTAAATTGTGGCATTAATTAAACAGCACCACAAAAATTTTGCCTCATTAAAGTCCCTTTTGTCTGTCTCTTCCTGTCAGTTTGTGTCTTTCCTTTTGTACTTCTTTTTCCTAACAGCAGAACTTGGTGGTAGGAATGTAGCACAGAAGTCTTGTAGTTTGTATTCTCTCTCCACATAGAAATGACATCCTTAGGCTGCTAAGTAATGTTCATAATTCATTTTTGTTGCATTTGCATTGCAGCAGCCTTACAAATGGCTGAGGAGTGCAAGGCTTCAACAACTGCTCCAGACTGCAGTATTCTCATGCAAAGGAGCTAATTTTGGGAGGGATTCAAGGCAGAGAAGCCATCGATGATTGCCTGTTCTCCATGGATACTCACCACTTAGCTCTGCAGACTAACCAATGCAATTCCACCACCCTCTAGTCTCCTTGACAAGCGTATCATGTAGCAGTGTTAGCCTGCCTGGTCAGTAAGAGTTGGTTTCTTTTTCAGTTAGCAACAAGACAGATGGAGAAGCCAGCCCCTTGAAGGAGGCAGAGACAAAAGAGGATGAGGAGGAGGCGGAAAAGAAGAAACGGAAAAAGGAGAAAAGCTCAGAGACGGGCAAAGCAATGGTGCCTCACAGCTCCATGTTCATCTTCAGCACAACTAACCCGTGAGACACTCTTTGGTCTTTGTCCTGTAGTAGCCATGCCATTGAGTTGGAAAGGGTAAGACAGGGCTGCACCTTGTAAGGGTTTTGCATCTCAAGCAATAGTCCTGTTAGATCCCATGGAACAAGCAGAGCTGAGGTGGGCCCATATTTGGCTGGGAGGCTACCAGGAGTAGCTGGGGCTCCTTCACTTCTGCAGGAGCTGGTGTTGGATCTGAATGCAGTACCCTTCCAGGGCCCCGGAATGGTATGAGGGAGCACTGCTGTCTTCTTAGGTAAGAAGTAAATCTGCGGCCCACAGCTTGCACCCTTGAAATCTCCCACAAGCAAGTCTGCTAACCCTGGCACCCTCCCCAAATTTTAGGTAGGGTAAATCCATTCTAGCTATACAAGGCAGGAAACATTATGGTTGGGAATGTGTTAGATTTAGACAAAACACCAAAAGCCTGCACTTGTGAGTTTACAGAGTCTGTTGCCCCACCTGACATCAGACTCGTGTTCTGCAGCACAGCCCCCTGACAACTAGCAAAGATGCCCTGGGGACCTCTGGGAACTAGAACTGCTTGCCAGAATATTTCATAGACTTCAACTTCACTGGAAATGATTAAGCCCCAAACTGTAACTAGGTGCCCAGGGCAGGTGACTGATTTGTTTTGTTCCAGGGGAATGCAACTCTGAGGGACTTTGTAGATCCACATGGGTCTTTGTGGGCTGCATGGCTTCTAGGGGCTGTGGGAGGTAGAAGCACTATATGTTAAGAGGAGTAGGGGAATTCATTCGTCATATATCCAAGCAGCAGGCAGTGGGAGAGACCCTTCCTGTCCCACTCCGACCCCCAGGCTAGTGCTTCCTCCCACTTCTTTTTGTGTGTGCACCATGAGGAGCTGCTCAAGTACAAAGCCCCTGAATATATCTCCAGCTCTCTGTCCTTTTGTCTCACTTTCTCCCCCTACTCCCTCCCTACTAAGCCTGCCCATCCTCCATAGCATTGTGACTTTCTCCTTGCATGACCCTCCTCTTCTTCCTCTTCCCACTGCCACCTTCTCCTCTTAACTTCTACCATGAGTGCAGAATGGAGAGAAGGGAAGTAGTAAGGACTGTTGGGTGTGGGATGTATGGTGCAGGGTGAATGAATGGAAGGAGAAAGATTGCAAGGAAAAAGGAATGGGAGTGAGAGACTGCTCAGACTTTAACCTCAAGTACAGGCAGCATATATTCTGACAGAGTTGCTGGGAGGTGGAGAACAGAGCTGGAGGAAGTGCTTGGAGGTCCTGGTGGTGTGTTTAATATTGTTAACCCCAAGCACTCCAATGCCACAAGTCAGGATCTCTGGACCTGGGACATTGGCCAGAACTCCACCAGTATAAACAAGTAGGTTTATGCCTTTGCTTTTGCCTTTTGGTGTTTGAGCCTTTGGGGGCCACATTTTCCAGGTTCTCATCCTCCCCCCCTCCCCCCTATACAAAAAGAAAATTCCTTCTGTATTCATGTGACTCCAGGAGGTGGGTGTATCAGAAATTGTGATTATCCTGCGACTTGCAATAAAAACACAAAAGCTGACAACATCTGTGTTTATGGGGGGTGCCAAGGGAGCTGTGTGCATGGGAAGGAGAGGCTATGTACTTGGGTAGGGTGGGAAAGGGGTTAAGAGAAATGAGCAGGTTGGCAGGGAATCCTGAACCAACATTGGGCTCCCTTGTTTGCTAAGAACCTACTTTCTGTACTTCCAGCTGCTTCTTCTGCTCCAGAGTGGCCAATGCTGACTTAAGCTCCCTCCTTCCCTTCCCTTCCCTTCCCTTCCCTCAGATACCCATCTGATCATAGGACCATAGGAACATGACATGCATGAAGAGCCTCATCCTTGGTAGGCCTGGAGTCATGTTCAGGTGAAGTTCAGTTCTGTGAGGTGTAAAAACTCAGTATAACTCCCTTCCTCCATGGCACAGCTCCCACAGTGAACAGAAGTGCTCCATTCATGTGCATGTGCAGTTAGATCTTAAATTAAGTTGCCACTTTTTTATTTTCCCAGCTTCATTAGGTGCCCAGGGTGAGCGCACAAGGGAAGGATGCATGAGCCATCTGAAATCTGGCACCTCCTGCCTTTTGAGTGCTAGGCGTTTTTAAAGCCTTTTTTCTGTCTGTAATCTTATCTAAAGTGTGCATGCACATGTGTGTGTGCAAGGTGTGTTCATGTATGCACATGCAGTGATTTCTCCCTATCATTTCTCCCATAGTGTGCGAAGAGCCTGTCATTACATTGTGAACCTGCGCTACTTTGAGATGTGCATCCTCCTGGTGATTGCAGCTAGCAGCATTGCATTGGCAGCCGAAGACCCCGTCCTGACCAACTCTGACAGGAATAAAGTGACTGTGACTTCTCTTGCTGTTTTCCCCCTTTCCCTTGCCCAATGTGCCCCAGTTCCTCAGTTGACAAGAGAGCAGAGGAGGAAGAGCAGTTGCACTCTCTAAATTTCTTTTAGCTCCTTGGAAGTGTTGTAGCAGACAGCTAATGGGAGCTTTGTCCCAGAATCCTCTCATGCCCGCCTGCATGATACTCTTGACTCAGCTTCATGCTCAGAGCTATTAACCAGATGCCCAACCAGATGCCCAAATATTATTTCTAATCTTGCTAAATGTGTAGATATATGTAGTGAGAGGTATTAGAAGACTAGAAATAGGTATTGGGACAACAGAATGAACTGTGAGGGAAGCTGTGGCTGAACTAAGAATGGGAAGAACAAAGTAAAGGGAAGGGTATGACAGCGCCAAGGGTCAGACATGTGTCCAGTGGGAGATGATGATGTCTCAGCCAGTGGTTGCCCTAAAGTCCTACGGGAGGGAATGAAAATGGGTAAGGGAGACTTCAGCCTATGGTCACAGGGACAGGATGAGCTGGTAGTGTTCCAAAGAGATGGAGCAGGATGGCATTGGGTGGGAGTGTTGGATATGGTTCTCCCTCTCCTGTCTCCTGTTACTCAGCTGAATGTGTTTTTGCATTGATTTGTCCAAGGCAAAATTGAATCTCAGGATCAACTGTCCAGTAGGAAAATGTAGCCAAAATGAATTTGTACAAATGTTGTATGTTCACAAAGTCAGTCCCTTACAGATGATCTATTAAGCTGATCTGACCTGTATCTAAGCATCATCCAAGATCAACCAGTTTGATCAGAGGATGGAAATGCCAGTCACTCTCCTGCCTCATGCCCTGTTTTTCCTTTAAGAAGAGTACAGATATAATCAGCCCTATGTTCTCTCTCCATGTGTGCCTCATAGTAGAATCAGAAGATGGATTTAGCAAACTGAGCAGGCAAATCCTTAGAAGAGGAAAACACTGCACAAAGAAGCTGTATCAGAAAGCTGGCTTTAGTTTTAGCTTCAGCTTGGGTAGGCTGGTCAGTCACCAATCAGTGTAGCCCAAGGAAGGAAAAGCTGTACCATAACTAGAGTAATGGGTATACCCTTGCCATGGTAGTTAGAGCTTCTCCTCTCTAGGTTTGTACTCTTTGGTTGCCATTCTGCCTGGTATAGGAGTAGCCAAAGTCCAGACAATCCTAAACCTGGCTTTCAGGGCTAAGTTACACATATGTAGTGCACTAGCTTCGTACTAGCTCTCTATTCAGCATGAATTTCACCTACTCTTAGCAGATCAGCAGCTGGGAAGAGAGACAGAAGGCTGGAGAGAGCAGGAAGGTGTCTGAATTAACTACTGTGCTAGCAGCAGACAAAGCACCTTGGGAAGGCGAGAAATGAGGAAGCAGGAAGTGAGGGAAGGTTAATGAGAGCCAGGTGAAGTGTGTGAGTGAAAGGGAGAAAGGGTTAGAACTAGGGGGAAGGGAGAGTAGAGAGCAAAGGATGAGTGTGAACCTGTTTCTTATTGCACTTCAGGGCAGAGAGCATTTCCATTTCTTTCTTGTTGGCCTTACTTAAAAATCAAATCTAGTGTTTGCTTTTACCAAGACTACTGAAAGTCATTCTCAACCTCGCTCATACAGAGGGATTTCCATCCCCAAAGACAGTAATTTGTTAGGCCTTGTGGGAGCTATAGTAGCTCAGAAAGGTGTAGATAGGGCTTAACTTAAGCAAGGGTGAGAGTTTGGGGTCACCACTGTACATCTCTGTAGAGGGGCCTATAGCTCTTCCAGATCCTCAGTGTACTGAGCCTCTGGTTGTCCAAGAGCTATTCATAATAGGATCTTTCCTAGCTTAGTTCCACAATGAGAATTGGGCCCTTAATCTGGGCTTTTGTATAGTAAGAGTTAGTGTGAGTTTTTAACAGGGAGTTTGTCTGGGTGAGTGAACCCAACATCATGCATGCAAGTGTGTGAGCAGGCACCAGTTGGACACATTAGATAAAGCCCTTTTCTTCTGCTTCTTTTGTGCAGGTCCTGAGGTATTTTGACTATGTTTTCACTGGTGTCTTCACCTTTGAGATGGTTATAAAGGTAAGAAACTCCCTTCATGGGATTCCTGTAGGCTTGTGCATGTGTATATTTGTGTGCAATAGTGGAGGGTGGAGAGAAGGCAGCAAACAGTGTACAGTGCTTTCCCAATGGGTAACAAGTGAAAAGGCCATTTTTAAAGCTTTTTCCACAGTGCTTCTTCCTGCTGGTTAGTGAAGAATCTACTCTGATTGTCCCACCGGCCATTGTTCCAGCTGTTCAATTCATTTGGTAGAATGAATGTGCCAGAAAGAAAGTGCCAACAGCATCCATTCCTGGGCTTGCTTTATCACTTGATAGGGTGTTGAACTCCAGGGTGTGTAGTGTCTTTGAAAGAGAGAGGAGAGGGGACATTCTCAAAAAGCACAGCTTTGCTCTGAGCAAGCTTGGGGCCATCACTAGCAAAATAAACCCTGTACATTCATTTCTACTCAGGAGCACAAAAAACTTGTCTTGAGACTGCCTGAGATCAGGGCTGGTGGGACTCTCAGATCTGTCCCAGCCACATAGGACCACTTATAAGCCACATACTCTGCCTTATGACTATTCTTTGGTGGACCCGAGTGGGAGCAAATGGGTGGGACTTATTTGGTTGGCCTGTGAACCCAGGGCTGGGAGGGATGCTGGTATAGAACATGCCCTGAGTGAGCTTGGAAAGATTAGGTGAAATGGGGAATAGAGTTGTTGGCAAAGTTTCAGTTGACAGTGACAAGTGCTGCAACTTCCTCCTTGTGGGTGGAGAATGTTTTAAGCATCTCATGGAACAAAATGTGACATAGCAGCTTGATTTTAGTTTTGTCTTAAATTTGGATTTAAAGAACCCTTTTTATGGAACCTCCTTCACTCTTCCCTCCTCCCCCAACACAGTTGTATCCGAGCAGTACCCGCCACCTCTAAAATTCTGAGCTTGGTCCATGAGACATTGCTTAAGCTATAAGGGCCACGTCTTTCCCACTCATGTGCCTAAAATTAGGCAGCTTGATCCACACTCAAACAACCAAATAAGCCTGACTTTCAGGTGTGCTGAGCTCCCATTGAGAGCAATAGTCATGGAGATTATGTGGCTCACTTTGATATCACTTGGACTGTTGGTCACTTATGCAGGTTCCTAGCTCCAGGCAGTTAAGCAGACCTAAGAGTGCTCGTCTCCATGGCAGTCCCTTGACATTTTCAGTTGGTTGAGCCCAGGGTTTGGTCACCCATACTCCAGGGACAGACAAATCCTGAGCACATCTGCCAACCAAGCCCTGGAGGGGGAACTGTTTCTACTTGAGTCATTCACTGTCTGTGTTATAACCTCTTTCTTGCAGATGATAGATCAGGGCTTGATCCTGCAGGATGGCTCCTATTTCCGAGACCTCTGGAACATCCTGGACTTCATCGTGGTGGTGGGGGCTTTGGTGGCTTTCGCCTTGGCGTAAGTGACTACCTTCTATTTTTACTTTGCCTTCCCAAGGGCACATACAGAGCTGCTCGAGACAGGGCAAGGTTATGTTGGTGGTGAGAGGCACCCATGAGCTGTGACTTTCAGAACCCAGTTTTCTTTGGAACCCTCTCATTCTTTACTCTTCACACTCTGAATATCTCCTGCTCCCCTTGGCAGTTCATGATCATGCTCCAGAGTCTTACCAACACAGCTCTGAGCACCTAGAAACAGATCTGCTGGCTACCTCTAGGCCAAGCCAGTATCTAGAAACTGTCAGACTTGCTTCTCCATGTTTCCAAACATTTAACTGGTGAGAACTGGACAGTTGGGAAGGAAAGGAAAGTGACTGTGCTATTTAAATATAGGAGAACTGTTGGTGGAGACACTGGACCAAGATGAGCGGGGAGCAGGGTGGGGTAAGAATTAAGTAGTTTCCTACTATTTATACGAAGAGTGGACAGAAGTGATGCCAGCAACACTTACCATATTCTCAGTGTATAAGCCAGAGCTGAGACTGGCCAGTGAACACTGACTCAGCAGCAGAACTGACATCAACTGACCAATTACTCTCACACTCCTTCAAGAGGGGTGTATTTCCCTGAGGATATCCTGAGGGTCTGGAGTATGCTGCAGGCCTGTTGTCCTCATTAAAACTCCGCAGCAGTGGCTGATATAATCCTTTGGCTCCTTGCTTTCTCTGGCCCCTGTTGTACTGATGATGACATCAAGAGCATTGGTGCATTAGGCTGCAGTGATGGCTCATCCCAAGGGGCAGAAAGTTTTGCTGCAACTTGGTGTTACCTCAGTCAGCAGTCCCATTAGAAGGCATGGTCTTATGGCCCCCACTAATCCTTCTGTCCAACTTTAGACTAGGATAAAAGAGAGGAATGGTTTAACTTTAAAGCCTAGCATGGGCATTTTCTACATAGCAGGAGTTAGGAGAGATGCTTACCATGCCGGATCTTCCTCAACTTTCAGAGTAGGGGGTTGTGAGGAAAGTTGTTTCCAAAGGGCACTGGCACAAAAACACCCCTTGTGTTTTCCCCCATTTGGCACTAAAACACCAGGATGTCTCTACCCCACTTCTTCTGTGTGCAGGTGATGGGGTTCAGAACAGCGGTGAGCTAGCTCATTGTACTGTGGCCAGCCTATGGGGGTCTGTTTTTTCCTTTTGTCTGAGGATACTATCTATGAGGCAGTTATGATTCATTTTTTACCCCCTCCCTCCTATTCCTGTATTGATCAGAAAGTGCAGTGTTGCCTCAGTGAGGGGCTGTCCCATACTCCCATAGAAGGGATGGGGGAGGGATACAGGTATTCAGGTACCATGGTGATGGGCATGGTATAAGAACAGAGGAGGCTGTGGCAGGGCAATAATTATACTTACTTGTGACTGCTTGGCACATGTGAACCATCTGAGAAGGGAAGAAGCAGAGAACAGAGTTTCGTGTTCCAAAATGTCATGGGTTTGTCATGTTATCATTCTTTCTTTGTGCCTTTGAAACTCGTGATGATGGCTTTAGTGTTGATGGAAGGGGAGGGACTGACATCCATGGAGACTGAAGCCCTGTGTTTGTCTGCAGCTCAGGTACTGTGTTGGGGTCTCAGGGAGCTTTGATGTCCTGAGGCCCAATGTCACTTGATGGATTATACCCTGTAATCCATTGCTCACCTTTCTGTGCATCACTTCTCCCTCTCACCTGAACATATATCTACTCATTCTTCTCTGCTCTCCCACTCAATGTCTCTCACCCACTAGCACCCTCACTTGCTCATTCACTTGCTCTTGTTCTCTCTCCCTCACTCTCTTGTTCACTCACTCTCTGATGTATTAGGCAACCACTCTTTCTTCGTGGAGAGCATTAGAGAATTCAGCTTGCTATGCATCTGGCCAAGTGAGATCACAGACCTTACAACTCAACTAGGTAGTGAGGGAGGGGATTTGAGACCAATCCACTAGTACGTGTCTTGGTGCAGTTTTGTGGAAATGCTGCCAGGTGCCCATGCAGGCAGTCTGCTGGTAGTCACAGAATTCTTACTCCTTAGTTATACTCCAAGTGATTTAGAGACTCAGCCACATCTACGGGATGCTGTCTAGTCACTGCACCAGCTGGGAATAAAGGGTAGACCTTCTAGTTTCTCATTCACAATGAAGTTTGAATCCATCCCCATTTGAGAATTTTTTAGGCTGTGGTTTTGGCATCTTACATCATTCTGGAACTGCCAGCTGAATGGCAAAGCACACTACAGTCTTTCTCGCTTAGAGTGCCCTTCAAATTCAACCCAGGCTAATAGGAACGGACAGTTCTTTTCATATGACAGCTCTTTGTGGTCTTATGTGATGTAAGTGAATGACCTGTTGGCCCACTTCCTAGTGGGCAAGTATCCATCTCATAACAAGCACTGCCAGAGTTGGCACTTACTGGGCTGCAAGTTGCCAATTTCAAAAGGAAGAGTTGGCTTATGGTGATTGAACTGCTCTCTTGCCCTGAAAGGTGGTCTCTCTAGATCAGTGTAGAGGCGCACTGTCAGGGCAGTACATGTAAGCTGGCATTGTTGCTGGCTGGGTCACACTTGTCCTAGGGCTAAACAGAACTTTATTCTCCAGAGCAGTCAGTCTGACACTGCTACCAGCATGCCCATTGCTTTCCACCAACCCAGAGGATGCCCAGTATCTGCTGCAGTGATTTACATACCCATCATTTCCTTACCGACTAGCAACTGGCCCCTTTACATATACAGGCATTACCAGGAGGAAGAATATGTACTTTGGTACTGTGGGGCAGCTGAATTCTCAATGGGAAATTTTCTGTCCATTGATTTAGAGACTTAAAAACCCCGCACAAAGAAGGCCTATGTGCCTTCCTGAATGTTTGTAGCAAACATACATAGTTTCATAGTTTCTAGGGTCAGAAGGGACCTGAGCAGATCATCTAGTCCAACCCCCTGCCATGGCAGGAAAGAGTACTGGGGTCAAACGACCCCAGTAAGGTGGTCATCCAACCTCCTCTTAAAAACCCCCAGGGTAGGAGTCTGCACCACCTCACTTGGAAGCTGGTTCCAGACCCTAGTCACCCTGACCGTGAAGTAGCGCCTCCTGATGTCCAACTTAAACCTTCCCTCCGCCAGCTTGTGACCATTGTTCCTGGTCACTCCTTGCGGCGCTCGGGGGAACAGGGACTCCCCCAGCGCCTGCTGATCCCCCCTAACCA